GGGGGCGGTGCACCACCCCCGGCCAGCCGGAGGGGCTGGGTGGCGGGGCAGCCGCGAAGGGAACGCCCTCTTGCGTGATCGTGCATGTGATCCTCCTCTTCTCCGGGGTTTGGTGCATGTATCCACCTGTGCGTCGGCTCAATTGTGTGTGGCCCGGGTGTTATTGCTCTGCGGGGTTAGGTTGCGGTGTTCTCGTGTCGAGATTTCAGTATGTTGACTTTTGTTGTTGGTAAAATGGCCAACATGACGCACATATTCGGCGCATTTCCCAGGGAGATACTCCTCCTGAAGAACCCGGGCCCGCCTGGAATTCGTCCGGTGCTCCGCGATGCTTTCGTTGGGTGGCGACGTGCGTACGTGCGTGGGCTGCGCGCCGCCTCGGTGCACGCCTGACGGGGTAGGGGCCGGCCGGGGGGGGGTTGCTCGGGCAGCGTTCCGGTGCCGCCCAACGCTTGGTGCTGCGCGTTGGAAGAGGCCCCTCCGCTCGGGGCCGGTCTGCGGGGGGCCGAGGGGGGGCCCGAGCGCGACCAGCGAGTCTGCCGGGGGACCCGCGTCCAAAGCCCCGAGGGCCTGCGACCTGGCGTGCGCCCGAAAAAGGGCGAGGCTCTGCGGCGCGGCTGGAGGGCGACGGGGGACCGATCCGTCGGAGGGGGTGTGTGCGGCCGCATGGGACGGGGGGCGCGAGAGGGCTGCTCCCTGCTGGCCTGGTGAATGCGCTTCCCCGGCCAGGCCTGGCAGCCCGTACGCCGGCCGGAAGGCACTTTGCAGCTCCCTGGGCGGGGGGGGGGGGGGGGGCGATGTCAGCTGGTGCTCCGCTCCCTGGAAGCAGGCGGGCGGGGCCGGGGGACCAGCCCCCGGCAGCGGGCCCGATATGTGCCGGGGTCCGGGCCGCCCCCCCCCCCCCCTTGAGAGTGGCCCGCAGGCAGGAGGCCTGTGGAAGCCGGCCCGCTACGGCCGCCGATGGCCGGGACCGCGGCGGCCTTCCACCGCAGCATGGAGGCCGGCCTCCCCCGGTAACAAGGGCGCTAGGGCGTGTTAAGCCGCCGGGCCCAGGGCGCCGCACCGCCCCGGACGCCACGGGCGGCTGTGGCCGCCGGGGGGGGATGTTGTGCCGCATCGCCGGGTCGTGCGCGCGCGGTCGCGATCCCAGCCCCGATGTGTGGCCGGGCTGCGCGGGTATTCGGCTTGTCGGCAGCCGGCCCGCAAGGACGCCGGCGCCGCGGGGGGTGCCTGCTCGTGACCCGTGCAGGCCACGAGACAGGTCCCCGGGGCGTGCGGGGCAAGGGGGGAGTGTTTGGGCGCTCCGGGGGGGGGGGAGGGGCAGAGAAGGGGCCAAGGGAGGGCAAGAGAGAGAGAGAGAGAGAGAGAGAGAGACAGAGAGAGCGAGGGGAGAGAGAGACGCCCAGGCGGGTGGCTGGGACACGGGCGAGAGGGGGCCGCGCCCTCCGTGCCGCGGCATCGCGGGCTCCGCCTTCGCGCATACCGCCCCGGCGGGGGGGTGTGTCCTCTGGGCGCCCGAGCAGGCAGATGGGTTGGCAACTCACGCGTCGCCGCGCAGGGGCGTGCGGGCGTACGTACGTGTATGCACGCTGTGATGCCCGCAAGTGTATGCTCTGCGCAGGCGTGTGCGTGTATGTGTGCGCGCGCGCGGCTGTGTTGTGGGCACGCAGTCGACATGGGCCAGCATCAGCCGGACGGGCCGGCGCACAAACACAAAGGCCCCGGGCGCGGCCGGCCCGCGGGGGCCCGGGGCCTGAGAAACAAAAAAGCGTGCCCGGAGATCTCAGCCCCATCGCCGAGGCGGCCCCCCCCCCCCCGGCCCCGGCCCCGGCCCCGGGGTCAGCCACTTCTGCCGGGCGCGCTGTAGGGGGCGCCGGCCCGGGGCCGGCGGTCGTCGGGGTTCTTCTCGGCCGCGCGCGGCAGCCGCGGGCGGTGCGCCCGCCCTGCGCTTTTTGATGATTGTATGTTGTGGGCGTGTTGTGCACTCTGGGGAGGCTGCGGTGGGATTTATTTTTTTTCCCAATAAAATATTGCCTTTTCCTTGGCTTATAGGCAGGGGGGGGGGGAAGGACCAGGGCCGCTGGGCCCGGCTCCGCCGGGCGGCACTGGCACGTGCGCGGCTGGGGCGTGTGAGTGTGTGTGCATCGACCGGCGAGGGGGAGGGCACATGCATCGTGCGAGTGTCGTCCCTGGGGCAACATCCCCTGTTAGAGTAAACTCCGGGCTTGCCTTCGCGGGAACAGGGGGCGGGGGGGG